AAACCTCAATGAGACACCACCTCACACCAGTCAGAATGGCTAAAATTAACAAGTCAGAAAACAACAGATGTTGGCGAGAATGCGAAGAAAGGGGAACCCTCCTACACTGTTGGTGGGAATGCAAGCTGGTGCAGCCACTCTGGAAAACAGTACGGAGGTTCCTCAAAACGTTGAAAATAGAGTTACCATATGACCCAGTAATTGCACTACTGGGTATCTACCCCAAAGATACAAATGCAGTGATCTGAAAGGGCACGTGCACCCCAACGTTTATATCAGCAATGTCCACAATAGCCAAACTATGGAAAGAGCCTCGATGTCAATCAACAGATGACTGGATAAAGAAGATGTGGTATATATTTACAACGGAATATTATGCAGCCATCAAAAAATGAAATCTTGCCATTTGCAAAGACGTGGATGGAACCAGAGGGTATTACACTAAGCGAAATAAGTCAATCAGAGAAAGACAACTACCATATGATCTCATTGATATGAGGATTTTGAGAAACAAGACAGAGGATCATAGCGGAAGGGAGGGAAAAATGAAACAAGATGAAACCAGAGAGGGAGACAAACCATAAAAGACTCTTAATCTCAGTAAACAAACTGAGGGTTGCTGGAGTGGAGCGGGGTGGGAGGGACAGGGTGTCTGGATGATGGACATTGGGGAGGGTATGTACTATGGTGAGTGTTGTGAATTATGTAAGACTGATGAATCACAGACCTATATCCCTGAAACAATACATTATATGTTAATAAAAAAATTTAAAAAAAAATACAGATCAGATAATGTGATCTTTCAGTTTCTCTCCATAATTAGTGATTTTATTTAGCATAAAGACCAAACTGCTAACAGTGACCATATGGCTCTATGTTGCACGTGTGCTGGCCATGGCCGAACTCTCCAGGCCATCACCTTCCTGGACTTCCTTCTGCTCCTTGAACACACAGGTTCCTAGCTGCCCCCATCTTTAATGAGTTCATGTGCATTTTACTCTGTGGTTAAGAGGGCAGACTCAGAAGTCAGACTACCTGGCTTTCAATCCTTGAATCCCAGGTGTGTGTGAGAGATATCATGGACATTACTTAGCCTCTGTGAGTTTCCGATTCCTCAACCAGAAAATGGAGGTGATTTTTGTAAGGATTAAATGAGATAATCCATGTAAAAATCAAGAACAGTACTTGGCTCCTAGTTACTGCTAAATAAACATTGGCTACTGTTCTTAAGCTCTAATTTATTTTGTATACTTCTAAAACTTGATGTGTAAGACAGTGAAATTTAGTTTTCAACCAGTAGGTTAACTTTTTAGTTAAGGTTTTGTTGAGATTTTCAAGTTCTATAAAAAACTTCCTACTCTCAACAGACCCCACAAATGACTGCATGCTGTCACAGTAACAGCAACATGGTTTAAGATACAATTCAGTAGCAATATGTTTGAGTCTAATTCAGTCCTGGAATGAGTAATATAAAAATATAAAATATAAAAATATAAAATATATTTTATATATATTTTATATATATGAGTAATATAATATATATGAGTAATATACAATATATGAGTAATATAAAAATATATAAAAAATAAAATATAAAAATTTCTTGGGGCACCTGGGTGGCTCAGTCAGTTAAGTGTCTAACTCTTGATTTTGGCTCAGGTCATGATCTCAGGGTCGTGAGATCAAACCCTGGTCAGGCTCTGCACTGAGCGTAGAATCTCCCTCCTTCTGCCTCTGCCACTCCTCCCCCGCACCCCCGGCCCCGCCGGCATGCACACACTCTCTAAAAAAAATAATAGAAGTAAAAATAAAAATGGGGCTCAATCCCAGAACCCCAAGGTCATGACCTGAGCCTAAATCAAGAGTCAGGCACTTCAGCGACTGAGCCACCCAGTCGCCCCAAGAACCAGTGATTACTTTTTGCCTGCTGATAACTCATCTGGAGGATTTCAAAGGCAGAAGAGGACTGGTAGTTCAGGAACTTCTATACAAATTTACTGAAATAAAATTAAAGACCGTGGTGTGAATGTTTTAGGTCTACCAGAGTTAGATACCGAAACTCGTTTCAGGAGGTAGAGAAATATTTTCTTTTATTACATAAAAGTAGGTATACCTCATATATATATTCTAGTTAACTTTTAAGTTAATTTGTATCCTTGTAACACTTTATATATTTCTATCACTTATTATAACATCACTTACATTGTGTTTTTTTTTTTTTTTTTTCTATGTGTCCATCTCTGCTGTTAGACTGGGAACTCCTAGGTGCCAGGGAATGGGTCTTTATTATCTGGCACATAGTAGGGCCTTAATAAACACAGGCTGAAATCAGTTGGTAGCCTATTAAATTGAATGTGATTTCACATAACATCTGTAGTGTAAGAGCAATGCACACTAAAATTCACCACATTTCCAGCAATGCTGAAAGCAAATAAAGCAATTTTAAGAGGCTCTATCTGAACTTGGATTTCGGAGGCATATCTGATCATTAGCAAACAGTTTTCTTATGCAAGTTTAAGTTCCTTTCATTGTATTCTAAAATGCTTTAAGAAGTTTGCAACACAGCCCCCCACCCCTTGACTAATACTGCTAACTTAATTAAATTTTAAAAGTCTTTTTGTCATTCATTTAGCACTCTGAAATGTATGACACAGTGGTTAAGAATATGGGCCTTGGAGCAAGACTGCCTGGGTTCAAATCCCTGGGGTGACTTTGAAAGAGTTGCTTTAACTTCTCTAGGTCTCAGTTTACCCACATATAGAAAGGAGATACTATTAATACCTCATAGGCTTACATGGAAGTTTAAATCATTATGCATGAGTATATGCACATTTATAAGTGCCATGTAAGTATTATTGTTCTATACAAAATGTTTGCTTTCATTAACAGAACAAAGTCCCTTGAGGAGCTCACAGATGTTTACATTCAAAGACAATGCAGAGGATCCTTTTATTAAAAAAAAAGGTACATACTTTCAGTCAGTGGTAATAACTTCTCTAAAACTACATTTTTTGTCAATTCTTGAAAGAGCTATGAATTATGATTCATATCTTGCTTTCTTCTACCTTAAATAATAAAGAAATTTGGTGGAATTAAACAGTAAAAAAAAAACATAAAAGAAGAGTAAGGTAGTGGAAACCTCGAGGATTTTAATCTTTTTTTGTATTTTAACTACTACTTTGAAAAGCAACCAATTAATAGAGTACTCACCAATTTATGGATTTAGAAACAGTATGTACACACTGTGGCGCTTAAAACATTTCCAACTTAAATTATTGGTATTGATCAAAATGCACTAATAATTTAAAACTATATACTTTCACATCAAGTTTTCTAATTTCCCACAGGCTGAGTCTTGTCAAGAACAAAAGAAACATTCTACTCTCTGCCTACCCCTTTTTAATACAACACTGATTCTTGAGGTTTTTTTCCAACTAGTGATTCCAAGTTCAAAGTACATTTAGGAAGAATAACAGAATCTTAACAAAAGAGAAAAAATTCCAGAATAAAAATAAGAACATTTAAAATATTCAATCATTTAGCATTTCCATGAATGATTTCCTAAATCATCTATAGTTAGACTCTATCTGACTGATAGACATGGTATTGTTCCCATTCTCTCTTCACTAGAGAAACCAAAAATAAGACACTTTGTATTTTAAATAAATTCAAGTTCATGTAGCCGGAATGTTTTCAATTAAAAGGAACAAATGTTGACCTTAGACATAGTTGATGTATGCCCAAGTGTCAGAACCGTTCAATTCATATAAAATTTTCAGGAGAAATGAGGTTTGAGTCACAACACCATTACGTTGTTTGTGTTGGAAAAGCATGTTCCCCAGTGAAGCCTGACTCAAGCTCTCAGGCTGTATCTACCCCTTTAAGTCAGAGGTGCCTCTCCTTACCTTCAATGAACACCTCCGCAGACGTGGCGTCTGAGCCGCTGGGGTTTGTAGCCAGGCAGGTATAGCGACCTGTGTCGTCCTCGAAGGCCTCTGCTATGATCAGGGTGTGGAGGTCCCCGCCCTCACTGCGGATCTGAATATCAGGAGTGTTGTGTAGCTCTTTTCCCTCACAGAACCATCTGCAGGCCAAATGGAGGTCAAAGGACAGGAGAGAAAGAAAGGAAATGGTGATGCTTAAAATAATAAAGCAGAAGTAAAAGGCTAATGCCCTGTAATAAGACGTTCATTTGATTTAAAAAAAAAAAAAAAGATCTATGTCAATGTTACTGAGGGAAATGCTACATTTTAGACCGTGAAATTAATGACTAGACAATTCCCCCAGGTTTTCTTTGTAAAGCATCTTGTATGTTTTATCAACCTTGAAATAAGGGATATCGTCAAACTTGGAAAGACCATTTTAGTTACAAAACAAAAGGAACAGAAATCAAAGTGTCTTACAGAATGTTTTATTATCATAGATGCCCCTTATAACTTGATCATTCTGACCTTAAGAAAACTAGGAAATATAAACATTATGCTCAAAATATCTAATGTATCAAGGGGGAACGAGTCATCATGTTAAAAACTCATAGGCAGCAATATTTTTGTTGACCCTAAGACTTGTGATCAGCTGAGCAATAACAGATTTAATGCTTTCCACATTTCTGGTATTTACAAAACTTTCTAGCCGAACGCCTGGCCTCCACAAGGTAGGGAGACGTAGGTTGTGCTGTAATTCATTCTTGCTGGTCAGCACTTTGCCTTTCCCAAACAACCAGGACCTCAGTGTAGGAGGCTGCAAGCTGCCAGACCGTTTTAACGCACGCTCTCTCTCACACTTGTCTTATTCCCCCAGCACCTCAAACTCTCAACAGGATTTTTACAAAAAAAAACATGAAGCTGCCCTAAAACCTCCCTTAAATGTGATTTATTTTTAAAGAAATATGTAGGAATGTGCCGCTTACAACCAGAAGCACTGAGGTCTCTGGGACAATATTGTCCATTTACCTCTGGATCGGTACTCAGATTTCCTTGGAGTCTCATATTCTATAAAATTCTTTGGACTTTGCATCCTTTTGTAAAAATACGGCATCAAAGGCTAAGTTTTTTCTGTATTTAGGTAGCATAGTTTAAGGTATTTATCTGTATTTAATCTGAAAATAAAACCAGTTTGCTAATACTCTGGGTATAAACTCCAGAAACTGTATTAAAAATTAAATATGGGTTACTCATAGAAGAACAGGGAAGACTTTGGGAATTAAGACATTTATCACCACCACCTTGCCAACAGAGCATCCTCTGCAACACGACAGCTACTACTTCTGAGATGATTGAGAAGAGCAGTATTTCTTGACTCTGGGGCATTTTGTAATTTCCTTCGTCTTTTTTAAGATTTTATTTATTCGAGGGAGAGAGCGAGGGGGAGAGAGAGAGAGGAGCAGGGGGAGGGGCAGAGGGTAAAGGAGAAGCCGACTCCCCGCTGAGCATGAGCCCGACGCAGGGCTCGATCCCAGGACCCCGGGATCATGACCTGAGCTGAAGGCAGATGCTTAACCGACTGAGCCACACAGGCACCCCGTTTCCTTTGTCTTCAAAAAGTTGCACAGAACATTCCAGCCTAGAGTCATCTTCCAGTTCCTTCTTTATTGTTCTCTTTCAACAGTCATAGACCAGATCTTCACCCATGAGAACTGACTGGATTAAGTTAACGGATTTTGCCATCTCTAGTGAACTATAGATTCTTCCTCGATTCTGTATCAGATTGAAGCTCTTCCTCACATACATCAGTCTCTAAACTTCAGATCTGTCATTGAAGCCATTCATATACCTGGACCTGATTTTATTTCCTTTTTATCATTTTCCTATACTAATCCTCTGTTTCTATTAGATATTTGCAGGGATTTGTCATTTCCTACCTAGTCCTCATGTAGCACTTGCTGACCTTCTTTGCCTATCCTTTCTCTTCCTGAGAATTTTCTCCTGCCCTCTTCACCAAAGCACCTTCCTTAAAGCCAAGCTAAAGGCTCCTTCGACAGATTAAATTCAACTGAACATATGCTTGCTGGGCATCTTCTACGTGGAAGGCACTGCATTACATATTACAGGCAATAGAATAAAGCCTGGTAAACTCTGCAACTAGTTGAGGACCGTCTTTATCTACCATGAAAAAGATACAAACCAACACTTGGAGGGAAAATTAAGCATGAAAAATACAATGAAGGTTTAAGAGAGGGCAAGAGTAACTGCTTTGGTTAGACGTGCTTCATAAGGAAACCCCTGTCAGCTACCCAAGGGAGTGTGGCGTCTTGTCCTTTAACTCCTGAGTCAGCAAACCTACAGCTTGCAGCCCCATCACCTGTCCTCATATGGCCCATGAGCCAAGAACGGTTTTCATATTTTTAAGTTTTTGCAAAAAAGTCAAAAGAAGAAGAATTTGTGATATATGGAAATTACAAAAAGTTCAAATTTCAGCATCTACCAAGTTTTTTTTGTTTTTGTTTTTTGGAACCCTGCCATGTTCATTGACATATTGTCTCTGGCTGCTTCTGCATTATAGTGACAGAGGTGGGTAGTTGCGTCAGAGTATATGGCCCACAAATCCTAAAATATTTTCTATCTGCACTTTATAGAAAAAGTTTGCCAACTGCTGTCCTGATTTCTTGCTCCTCAGAGTGTGATCCTTGGACCAGCAACATCGGCATCATTGGGGAGTTTATCAGAAATGCAGAATCTTGATCCTCATTCCAAATCTACTCCATCAGTTCAGATCCTCCAGGTGACCCACATGCACACAAAGGTTAAGCAGTTTGGGTCTGTGAGGTTTGGACCATACCATCCTGCATCACCGAGTCCTGGCTCTCCCTCTAAGTTATTCACTTCTTTAACCTAGCAACCACATTTTATGTGTCTTGTACTTCTGTTCCCTTGCACATAAGTGCATGTAAAATTACGTTCTGTTTCTCCTACCTCTGTACTGAACAAATTTTAACATCTTTCATTTGACCGTAGATCACATAGCACTTTGTGACAGTTTCTGTATTATTTCCTCACACCATTATTTGAGGCCTACTATATCCATGTCTTATCTTCCCACCTAGGAAATAGACTTCTTCATTGCAGAAAAAAACTTTTAAACTTTTTTTTTTTTTTTTTTTTACTGATCCACAGTGTATTGTATACTTGATGCTTTAAAAATACAACCTGCTGCTCGTTACTTCGGAATATGCTTCCCATGAAAAACCTAATAGTGAAGGATCTATGGACGAACAGATTTGGAAGATGTTATATGTCTCACTTCTTGATGTTTGCAACTCACGTTTTCTTATTAAAGGCCCTGAAAGTCCTGCAGAGAAGAAATTTAACACTGTCTAATCTAGTATTTACTCAACTTAGTTGACCATGAGATTCTTTCTAATTTAGCATCTACCGACATTTTGTTCAGTCATGTGTGTGTTGTAGAATGCTTTTCTAGCAGTCTTATCCCATAGAATCTGCAGTTTTCCAAAAATGAATTAAGACAAATATAATCTGAGCAATGAAGATTAAGGCAACAACTGCATTTTTTGTGACAGTCTAACACCTATTTTTGTCTTCTGAAGTGGTTCATCCGGTCTTCAACAATTGCAGATGGTGAAATGGTTGGTGCTTACAAACCATTAGACTGATCTGGTTTTTGCTTTCTAAGCACTCATGCTATTTGTTCTCCAGCTCCATGAATAAAATTTAAAAAAGCATCTCAGATTGTAACATACAGAAGACATAGTGCAGAGAAAAGATGAAATTTGTCCAAATTCAGCAATACGTCAAATTACTATGAGTCATTTATATTGCATTGACACTCTCAGGGAAAGTCAGATTGTTCCTGATATAAGTACCTGTCAAGTGACCAGTTCTATGTTGTTAAAATGTGGTAAGACAGGGTGTGACTCGAGAGGGGGAAAAACTGCAAATATTTAGATGGCAGACTCCCTGTAGCAACAAAAAGGGCAGCATGGTTCCTGGCCAATATTTAGATAAATGTGTGTTTAATTTATGATTGGAACCATTTGCACATTGGAGCTAGCAATGGCCGAGCAAAGAGGCTCAACTGTGACTTTAGGAAAGTCAGCTAGCCTTCCTGGTTCAGGTTCCTCACATGTATGAGGACATGAGACTTTATTGCTGTAAAGTTTCACTATTCTAAGGTTCTTGGTGAAATGGAAGAGTTTTATATTTAGGACTGCATTTAAAGTATTTCCAGAAATGACACAGAAAATTCTTCGATGAAAGATCCAAGTAATTAATGGCTTCTCCTCTATGAAATATACTAAATATAATAGAGCTTCTAAGGTTATAAGGACTCCACGATGGGTCCCTAAATGTGTCAATGGACCTAGCACCTTGTCTTTATCGCTACCATGTACTTAACTTTCCACCTTCTACTGAAATCAGTTCTTCATGTGCCCCTCTATCCTGTAACTTCTTCCAGGGCAGAGACCTGGTCTTTTTAACTTAATTCACTAAGTTAATAAGTGTGCTATATGTTCCAGCACAATGTTTGGTATATGGAATATATTAACTATGCCTTTTTATTTTCTGTAATTCTGAGGCTTTAGACATCTGGGCCTTGCTGATACCAGAAAGACTGCCCTTCCCAGGGCTAGCCAATTCTTAAAGAGAGTAAGTGACTCCTTTGGGCACACCTTTCATATGAAAGCTCATCAGTCTGGAGCCACATCCCCACCACCTCTTCTATTGGGCTCTCCCACTCAGGGCCACTACTGTCCTGCTCTAATCACCCCAGAACCAGAGAGCAAAACACTAGGGGGACAATAGCCCCTAGGCCACAGAGTTTGCTGCAATTATTCAAACCAGCTGATCTTAAATGTGCTTACCCTGTTTCACCCACTCCTTCCTGTGGCAACTACGGTAAAGCTCTTGCCCATGCCCACTGCCCCCCCCCACCTCTCTGACCCCTTACAGGAGGCACCTGGTGACCCCCCTGTGGTCCCCCATGGCATAGCACGCTCTTTACGTGTGGGAACTGTGAATAACAAAATATCTTTCAATGGCAGTCCGGTCCTAATCTGTTGGCCTCATCATACCTGAATAATAATAAAATCTACATTTTAAAGCACTGAACTAACCAAAGAATTAGCTT